CATACCACAGATTCTCAATTGGATTAAGGTCTGGGCTTTGACTAGGCCATTCCAAGACATTTAAATGTTTCCCCTTAAACCACTTGAGTGTTGCTTTAGCAGTATGCTTAGGGTCATTGTCCTGCTAGAAGGTGAACCTCCGTCCCAGTCTCAAATCTCTGGAAGACTGAAACAGGTTTCCCTCAAGAATTTCCCAGTATTTAGCGGCATCCATCATTCCTTCAATTCTGACCAGTTTACCAGTCCCTGCCGATGAAAAACATCCCACAGCATGATGCTGCCACCACCATGCTTCACTGTGGGGATGGTGTTCTCGGGGTAATGAGAGGTGTTGGGTTTGCGCCAGACATAGCATTTTCCTTGATGGCCAAAAAGCTCCATTTTAGTCTCATCTGACCAGAGTATCTTCTTCCATATATTTGGGGAGTCTCCCACATGCCTTTTGGTAAACACCAAACATGTTTGCTTATTTTTTTCTTTAAGCAAAGGCTTTTTTCTGGCCACTCTTCTGTAAAGCCCAGCTCTGTGGAGTGTACGGCTTAAAGTGGTCCTATGGAGAGATACTCCAATCTCCGCTGTGGAGCTTTGCAGCTCCTTCAGGGTTATCTTTGGTCTCTTTGTTGCCTCTCTGATTAATGCCCTCCTTGCCTGGTCCGAGAGTTTTGGTGGGCGGCCCTCTCTTGGCAGGTTTTTGTGGTGCCATATTCTTTCAATTTTTTAATAATGGATTTAATGGTGCTCCGTGGGATGTTCAAAGTTTAGGATATTTTTTTATAACCCAACCCTGATCTGTACTTCTACACAACTTTGTCCCTGACCTGTTTGGAGAGATCCTTGGTCTTCATGGTGCCGCTTGCTTGGTGGTGCCCCTTGCTTAGTGGCGTTGCAGACTCTGGGGCCTTTCAGAACAGGTATATATATACTGAGATCATGTGACAGATCATGTGACACTTAGATTGCACACAGGTGGACTTTATTTAACTAATTATGTGACATCTGAAGGTAATTGGTTGCACCAGATTTAGGGGCTTCATAGCAAAGGGGGTGAATACATATGCACGCACAACTTTTCCGTTATTTATTTTTTAGACTTTTTTGAAACAAGTTATTTTTTTCATTTCACTTCACCAATTTGGACTATTTTGTGTATGTCCATTACATGAAATCCAAATAAAAATCCATTTAAATTACAGGTTGTAATGCAACAAAATAGGAAAAACGCCAAGGGGGATGAATACTTTTGCAAGGCACTGTATGACACCAGGAGTAAAAATAGGTAATGGGGAATTGATAAAAGAGTAGCTCATATCAAGACGTATAGAAAGGGAGGCAGACAGGCTGAGTAGAGAAATGATTGCGATTGAAAGAACCAGAATGTATGTATTTTTACTTAGTTGACAATGGAAGTTATAGGCCTACTGCTGCATTTCCCTATAGTTCCATGCGCTCATTTCTTTAGCGTCAATGGATCACTGTGTAACAATGTGTCCAAATGGTAGAGGGTGGTGCTCTCGCATTCGTTGAATTTTAACTTTTAGATTTTTATCATTTTCATTCAGATTTTTATGATTAACCACGTGACAATGATTTTGAGAAACAAAAACGTTATGATTGAAAATAAACTATTCTACGAAATTCTGCATATTAAAATCATAAATGGCTATAAGCTTCCCCAAACTTGAAACCTGCCGCCCATCTCTGACCCCCCACCCCTACACACACACACACACACACACACACACACACACACACACACACACACAAACACACACACATACCTGAACACAGCATGAGTCACACACTAACACGTACAGTACAGTATATCTTCAGCAAAATTATTTCCCCCTCTATATTTCTCTCTCTCTCTCTTTCACACACAGACACACACACACCTGAACGAACTGAGCATGAGTCACTTACTGTCATACTGTACTGACATTTGCCATCACGACCCCACTTAAATGTCATTCAGACATAGACACACACTGCTCAGTGTCTCGTGCAGGTCTCTGAATGCAGATACGCAAGCCTGCAGAATCTTTCTGCCCCCATAGAGCTCTCTGTCCTGCTGTGTCTGCTGTTCTCTCCCCTCCCACACATCCATCCTGCCTGGCCCACCTGTCATAGCCTCCCCCTCTCTATCTCCCTATTTATCTTTCCCTCTCTCCCCTCGTTCTATCACTCTTCCCCCCCTTCCCTCGTTCTCTCCCTCCCTCCCTCTCTTCTCCGCTCCGCTAGCTGTGTGAAGGTGAGCCAGTCCCCAGTGGCATTACACTACAGCACAGAATGAAACGCTTCCGCTTCAAACAAAAGCAGCTCTCCTGTGAATATATGCAGATGTGCGGGGATGATGTCTCTCCTCCACCTCCTCTGCACATTCCTGGGCTGTTAGGGACCATGTAGGAGGCTATGATCTGTTCCTCCCTGCCCCTGTCGTTTTTCTATAGTGTGCTGCTGTCCCCTTGTCTGCCTGTCTATCTGTCTGTCTGTCTCTTTGTCTTCTTGTCACCCTGTCTGTCTGCTGTCCTTGACCAGTGAATAGTCAGTGATACAGAACTTTGCGAGGCTTTGGTAACACTCAGGTATTGCCAGACTGACAGTAAAGTTGGAGGTCACAGACAGAAGGCACTCTCAGGTTGTGAGGAGGACAGAGGAAGGGTATAGTGTACAGTATCTGCCTTTCCCTAGTGTTAAAAGCTCTTTCATGAGTGAATGGGATTGTGTAATGGACGATGGCACCAGTGTTATGAAGTATGTGTCCCAGTGGCACAGTAACTGGGGGTTGTTCTCTTAATGGATGTGTCTGCTGCTGCTAATGACCTGAGATGGATGTGACCGTCCATCCTCAGCCGTGGGTAATAGCTGTCTTTGTCTATGGAGGTGTGGTGTGTGTTGATTCATAGTGTGGACAAGTATCCCTGACTGGCTGGGTCTCTCTCCCTCCACTTCGCAGGTGTGAGATAGATGTATGAGTGTGTCTCTGTGTCTGCAGCTACCACAATGGATATGTGTGTGTTCCGCAGCACAGGTGTTGTTTAAGCAACAAGGCATGAGAACCCAGGGATTATCACCTCATGTTTCAGCATGATAATGAACGGCCCCATGTTGCAAGGATTTGTCATTAGCTATCTGAAAATGTAATGTGTGTTTGCGTGCGCATATGTACAGTGAGGGAAAAAAGTATTTGATCCCCTGCTGATTTTGTACGTTTGCACACTGACAAAGAAATGATCAGTCTATAATTGTAATGGTAGGTTTATTTGAACAGTGAGAGACAGAATAACAACAAAAAAATCCAGAAAAACGTATGTAAAAAATGTTATGAATTGATTTGCATTTTAATGAGGGAAATAAGTATTTGACCCCCTCTCAATCAGAAAGATTTCTGGCTCCCAGGTGTCTTTTATACAGGTAACGAGCTGAGATTAGGAGCACACTCTTAAAGGGAGTGCTCCTAATCTCAGTTTGTTACCTGTATAAAAGACACCTGTCCACAGAAGCAATCAATCAATCAGATTCCAAACTCTCCACCATGGCCAAGACCAAAGAGCTCTCCAAGGATGTCAGGGACAAAATTGTAGACCTACACAAGGCTGGAATGGGTTACAAGACCATCGCCAAGCAGCTTGGTGAGAAGGTGACAACAGTTGGTGCGATTATTCGCAAATGGAAGAAACACAAAAAAACTGTCAATCTCCCTCGGCCTGGGGCTCCATGCAAGAGCTCACCTCGTGGAGTTGCAATGATCATGAGAACGGTGAGGAATCAGCCCAGAACTACATGGGAGGATCTTGTCAATGATCTCAAGGCAGCTGGGACAATAGTCACCAAGAAAACAATTGGTATCACACTACGCCGTGAAGGACTGAAATCTTGCAGCGCCCGCAAGGTCCCTCTGCTCAAGAAAGCACATATACATGCCCGTCTGAAGTTTGCCAATTAACATCTGAATGATTCAGAGGAGAACTGGGTGAAAGTGTTGTGGTCAGATGAGACCAAAATCGAGCTCTTTGGCATCAACTCAACTCGCCGTGTTTGGAGGAGGAGGAATGCTGCCTATGACCCCAAGAACACCATCCCCACAGTCAAACATGGAGGTGGAAACATTATGCTTTGGGGGTGTTTTTCTGCTAAGGGGACAGGACAACTTCACCGCATCAAAGGGACGATGGACGGGGCCATGTACCGTCAAATCTTGGGTGAGAACCTCCTTCCCTCAGCCAGGGCATTGAAAATGGATGGGTATTCCAGCATGACAATGACCCAAAACACACGGCCAAGGCAACAAAGGAGTGGCTCTCCTCTCCAGACCTTAATCCCATAGAAAATCTGTGGAGGGAGCTGAAGGTTCAAGTTGCCAAATGTCAGCCTCGAAACCTTAATGACTTGGAGAAGATCTGCAAAGAGGAGTGGGACAAAATCCCTCCTGAGATGTGTGCAAACCTGGTGGCCAACTACAAGAAACGTCTGACCTCTGTGATTGCCAACAAGGGTTTTGCCACGAAGTACTAAGTCATGTTTTGCAGAGGGGTCAAATACTTATTTCCCTCATTAAAATGCAAATCAATTTATAACATTTTTGAGATGCGTTTTTCTGGATTTTTTTGTTGTTATTCTGTCTCTCACTGTTCAAATAAACCTACCATTAAAATTATAGACTGATCATTTCTTTGTCAGTGGGCAAACGTACAAAATCAGCAGGGGATCAAATACTTTTTTCCCTTACTGTATACGTGGGCGGCAGGTAGCTTAGTGGGTAAGAGCGTTGTGCCAGTAACCGAAAGGTCGCTGGTTCTAATCCCCGAGCCGACTAGGTGAAAAATCTGTCGATGTGCCCTTAAGCAAGGCACTTAACCCTAATTGCTCATGTAAGTCGCTCTGGATAAGAGCGTCTGCTAAATGACTAAAATGTAAGTGTGCGCTAGTGCTATCGATATGTTTCTTTGGTTTTCATTGGGACTGCATATCAGTGTCTCAATGTTCTTTTTCTGTGTCTGCAGGTGTTTGGGGGTTATTATCACTTCCGGCATCACACCATGGTGAAGAGATCCCTATCAGGCCACAGGGGAACACACGTACGACTGCAGAAGGAACCACAGGTAGGTTACTGTACACAGCCAATGCACCATACAGCAAGGTTTGGCAAAACTTCACTACTCAAATGGGTGCCATGTTGCCAACATATGTTCCAAAACAATTAGGCCTACAAGTAAGAATGCAAATAAGAACGTTTCTATCATGAAACATTTGGTGCCATCATGGATGACAGTTTGTCAAACTCTCTACGTACCGTTCCCTATATCAACAGCTTTGCACACTTCCATCCATATGCTTCTGATCTGACCTCCCCCCAGGTGTGTGGAGTCATAAATATGGAAATCGTCCTCCAAACAACACAACAATAACAGCTGGACCTGTCTGTGTGTTTGCGTTCTCATTTTGCAGCGTGTCTTGTAGAAGCATTGTTTTTATCCAAATGTTAATGAGAAGAGGAATCCAGACATTGGTCCATCTGTTACACAAAGACGTTCACAGCTCGAGGAGTCAGCTTCATTTAGGCAGCTGGCTGTAACTGAGCTCTCAGCTCTTTCAGCCCTAGAGAACAAGTCTTTTTTACCTCAAAGTCGCTTGTTCTATTCAAATCCTATTCAAAACTCTACTTGTCAAGTTCAGTTCCTCTAGCATGCGCTCATTCTGCATTCTGCAGTATAGTTACAGGCAGAACTCTGTTGTTTGGATGAGGAGATGGAGGTAGGTGACCTTGTCTGCAGGGTAGCTAAACACAGGGGACATAGTTATAAAGTGAAAGCAGGCGTGCCATGAATAATCTGCAGCTAGCTGTCCCTCCTAGCCAGAGTCAAGTGCTTGAAAGTAGAGACAGGTTTTCCTGATGTGGGGTACAAAAAAACATAATGAGAAAGGCTGATGTAGATGCTTGTTGCAATTAGGAACAGTATACAGGAGCTGTCAATAGTGTAGGTATCTATCCCTTTCTTCAGAGGCTTTTCTGCCCTTTTTCACCCACGCTTAGCTATGTCAACCTAAGTGGATAGTGAGCCACTAGGCTATGAGAAGCTATAGAAAGCTGTGGGTGTGAGTCTAGCTGGAAGCTCAGTGAAGATGACATTCAAAAAGGAATAAGATACAGTAGGCATTAAAGATAACTGGAGAACTAAGATCTGTGAGAAAATAATAAGATGGGGAGATCAGATGAGATAGGAAGGAATGTGAGAGGGAGATGGAGGCTGGAATCCGTCTAACTTAGGGTGCTGTTATCTCCCGAGTGGCGCAGTGGTCTAAGGCACTGCATCGCAGTGCTAGCTGTGCCACTAGAGATCCTGGTTCGAATCCAGGCTCTGTCGTAGCCGGCCGCGACCGGGAGACCCATGGGGCGGCGCACAATTGGCCCAGCGTCGTCCAGGGTAGGGGAGGGAATGGCCGGCAGGGATGTAGCTCAGTTGGTAGAGCATGGCGTTTGCAATGCCAGGGTTGTGGGTTTGTTTCCCACAGGGGGCCAGTATGAAAAATAAAAAAATGATGTATGCACTCACTAACTGTAAGTTGCTCTGGATAAGAGTGTCTGCTAAAATGTAAATGTGATATTTGGGTAGAAATCAGTCTTACTATATATATACTACTTCTGTAATTTGAGGTAAAGAGTGTTTTCCTGGATATATCCCTATGCTCATTCAGGTGCACTCTTTAGACCAGTTTCAAAGGGCAACTTCAACCTGGTCACACACATACTCTAGTTCCCCCCAGGCTGCAGGTGAGCAGGGTTCAGGCTGGGGAACAGCTTGTCCAGGGCAACCTCACTCTAACAGCCAGGCCATGGGCACTCTGGCAGACAGCGACCACAGCAGTAGAGCTGCCAATACACTTTAGACAAGGTCAAATGTGTGTGGGTGCGTGCACAACTGTTCTGAATAAAACACATTCAGTGTGTGTTGGATTTGTGTGTTTTCCCCAAGATGGATGTATAAAAAATGGTTTCATCTAAATATTAATGAACTAAATGTTTTTGCTGAAAGTGCCATAATACAGAGAAGGGATGACGCTTTATATGTTGGTGACTATAATGTAAGGCTTAGGTAAATTAGTGCATGTAAAGCTTCAGCTAGATCCTCTCAGTTTAATCCTGGACCTGTCTCTCCCATTCCTCCCATTGTCTTGTGTCTTCAGCCCTGCCTGGCTGACACACCGCTTAGCTCCATTCACGTTGAATAATCACACACTGCAAAGATGACATTGACAGAATCGCATAACCCCCGCCATTAAACCAGAGACTTTTTGTCATCTCTTCTCTCCCTCTCTCTCCTCGCTTATACTCTCACACTCTCTCTCTCCGTGAGGGACAGAAGGAATCTATTTGTTTCGGGACAGCTTTTTTATTCGGTCTTAACAAACCTCACTGTTACTTATTGCATACTTAGGAGGGGATATTTTCAGGCCCACTCTCTCCAATCTCCTCTCTCCCTGTGGAGTTTGTCAGTAGCTATTACACACACACAAACACAAATACAGTGCATTGTGTCTGGAGGCTGTGGCAGTGGCCTTGTGGCTTATGTATCTCCTCTCTCCATAAGCCAGATATGAGGATCAGAGAGGAGACACAGTGTGTCTAGCAGCCGATCATTAGAATCCAGGCCCAACTGAGGATCTGTCTTTTTCAGCAATCTATTTCCTGTGTTTGAGGGGTGCGAAATCCACTTTTCACTTAAATCTCACTGGATTGATTGCTTTCACTTTACACCTGCGACTCTTTCATACTCTTGCTTGTGCCTGTCATTTTTCCCCCGTTAACGTTATGACCGCGGAAATGTTTGTAATGACCTGTCAAACACACTCTGGTAATGGCTGAATGGGATACATTGTCTTTCCGTTGAATCTATAAAGCCTTGTTCACATTGGCAGCTTGAAGTTACTCAAATCCTATTTATTTGCATATCTGATTTGAATCTGTTCTTTTTCCTGCAGTCTGAACAGACAAAAAACACATGGAATCAGATATTTCAAGCCACATTTCAAACCACCTTCGTAGGTGGTTTGAAGTCAGATACAAATCTGATTCCTGACCATGTGATTTGTGTCTGAACGATCAAATCGTATTTATTTGCCCTCAAGTGGTTTTTAGACTGTTATTCTGCATATCTTGTTGCTTGCTAGCTACGCTGTCGGCAGTTTGACAAGAACATGTGGTAACTAATTGTTTACAAACAAATTAGTGAATGTGCTAGAAAGCTAAACAGCTACCTAGCTAACTAGTTGACTGCTGTGGCTAGCCAAAAACAGCTACCTGGCTAGCTAGTTGACTACTGTGGCTATCCAAAAAGGACTCGTTTTGAAAGTTGGATCATGTTATATTTTGAGGCTTTAAAAGTGTTCTTACCCTATGATTTTGAACATTCAATGCAACTGGGAAATGTCCATGGTAGGCATTGTTGTCACCTTAGCTTGCTACTTCTGAGTGATAGGAAACACAAGCACCACCACCAATCACCCTACACCATTGCACACACTCCCGTTGTTACTATGACAACCAGCGTAGCCTTGTCAGAAAATGACTGCTGTCTGAACACACACAAATCTGATTTGGTCACTTGTAACTTGCTGTTTGGACAGTCAGTAGTTCAAAACTGATTTGAGACTACTGACTGTCCAAACAGCAAGTTACAAGTCACCAAATCAGATTTGTATGTGTTCAGACAGCGGTCATTTGCTGACAAGGCTACGCTAGTCATAGTAACGACGGGTGTGTGTGCAATGGTGTAGGCTGATTAGTGGTGGTGGTGGTGCTTGTGCTTCCTATCACTCAGAAGTTATGTAGCAAGCTAAGGTGACAACAATGTGCATTTATCTATATGCCAACATTGCGCAACAATGCCTAATTTATCATGACCATTACAAATAACAAGTTCTAATTGCTAAATTGCCCCATATATAGTACCAGTCAAAAGTTTGGACACACCTACTCATTCCAGGGTTTTTCTTTATTTTTACTATTTTCTACATTGTAGAATAATAGTGAGGACATCAAAACTATGAAATAACACATATGGAATCATGTAGTAAATAAAAAAGTGTTAAACAAATCAAAATATATTTGAGATTTGAGATTCTTCAAATAGACACCCTTTGCCTTGATGACAGATTTGCACACTCTTGGCATTCTCTCAACCAGCTTCACCTGGAATGCTTTTCCAACAGTCTTGAAGGAGTTCCCACATATACTGAGCACTCACAAACAATGTAAAGTATGTATAGATAGGTGTAATCTAGAGGTAAGCGTGTTAATTTTTAATCCGGGGGTATCCTGCTATTTACAAATACCTGATGCAATGAAAAAAAATCTATGTGCATTCTAAGATTTTATTTTTTTATTTGACAAATTGAATACCATGAATTCCTACCAAAATCCCTGAAATCCATTGTCCAACTGTTGCATTTATTGGAATTGTTTTTCTAACAATTTCGATGACCGTTGCTACATTATTGGGCTAGACACTAGACAGACACTACCGACTGGACTGCGTATCTAGCAGAAGGTTCTGGCATATTAGCCTACAGCAGAGAGACGAAACACACACACACACACACATACCCATAACATCTCAGGAGTCAGATGAATCAGATTGGTCTCCTTATTCTCCCTGTAGATGTTGCTGATGTAACCCATCTGGGCAGTTTGTAAAGTCTTACTGCAGCTGTAGGACCTAACCATTTGAGCATTGGTGACCACTTGAAAGCCAGCGTGGGAGGCAGACTGTGGATAGTTGTCTCTCAAATAAAATAAAATAAAATGCAAATAGTCCGGGTAGCCATGATTAGCTGTTCAGGAGTCTTATGGCTTGGGGGTAGAAGCTGTTAAGAAGCCTTTTGGACCTAGACTTGGCGCTCCGGTACCGCTTTCCGTGCGGTAGCAGAGAGAACAGTCTATGACTAGGGTGGCTGGAGTCTTTGATTTCTTTGATCGGTGTGTGTGTGTGTGTGTGTGTGTGCGTGTGTGTTCCTCTTTAGGTGCGGTGGGCGGAGCAGCAGGTGTCTAGGCGGAGGAAGAAGAGGGATTTCTACACCGAACCATCCGACCCCAAATTCCCCCAGCAGTGGTACCTGGTGAGCAAGGTAGTAGTCAGATCCCCCAGAACGCTGTAGCCTCTACTGTACTAAAGCCAGGAGTTTTCCCTTATGTTGAACACATTGTACAATTTTAATTAGAACCTCTTTAACACCCCTTTGACATGACAGTATTTAAAATGTATAAGACCGCAACATAGATACCTGTTGATATAGGGATTCTGCCTAGACAGCCGTTTTAAAAGTGCACTTCACTGCTGTTTACCACATTCATACCTTTAAAGCAAAGAGACCTGCTGCCATACAGAAAAGGCAGGATGTAGTAATCAGAGTATTTCAGTGAGGAATAGGTTTTATTTCCCCCAGTCAGTAAGCCTCTTGTTGACATTTAGCTGAAACAGCTGGATGTGATGCCTGATGAGAGAACTCATCATCTGGTTGTCTGTTATTTAGCTGAATGTCGTCAAAATGTTCTAAAGCGTTCTTCACTTTGTTTACTTCAGCTGTCAAGGCCCAAGTTTATTTTCCATGTGTAATGAATACATGATGGCAATGAATACATGGAAATAATACATTGTCTGCAGGCAGTGCTGGAAGGACAGTTTGCCGAAGCTGAGAGCTGATAAACAGGACTCTGAGACTGTTATTAGAGAACGACCGATATGGATTTTTTAGGGCTGATACCGATTTTTGGGGGGTCAAGGAGGCCGATGGACGATATTTTAGGCCGATATTTAATATCATAAAATTTAACATTTTGATGACAAAATTTCCCAGACAGCCATGTATGGATTCATGTAGCAATTAAAAAATCAGACAATACATTTGACTTTATTTTTACCAATCTAACTACATAACAACATAATGGTAATACTTTTATTTGAATGGTAAATCTCTTGATAAACTGGGTAAATTAAGATGCCATAGGCCTACTCACAATACAGGTGAATGGATATTCAGTTGGAGTGTGTTCATGAATTGAGTTATTGAGCTTATTTTGACTGATCAGTGGAGTATATGGTGCTACAGATAACAAACAATCTGTTTGCCTTCCATTTAGGACTTATATTAGCCTACTGAGCAACAACATTTGCATAGAAGCATCACTCCAGCATGTCACGTCTGTATGGAAGGACATCAAATAGGCACTGTTGTTAGTTTGAGAATATAAAAGAACATCTATTCAATGCAAATGGGTCCAATGTAACGTCATGATTTGTGATCACGGATGCTTATGAAACTAGTCATTTTAGTCATTTTCTGTGATCGGGAAAAAGTGTTTTTTACAGCTGTCAGGACTCATCTCTAAACAACTCAGCTGCCAGGACGAAATTCAAAACAATCTGCTTAACTAGCTTGCTTATTGCATGCATATCCGGGCACGTCAACACAAGCCTTATTATTAGTGAATTAACTAAACTAATATTTGCAACAGGAGTTAGATTTTGGTCACTGTGTCAATTCATCTATTTCTCAATACTGCACCTTTCTGTTGGAGAATGAGCTAGCTTGCTGCTTGCTGCTGCAGCTGATTTTCCCAGCTAGACATTCCTCGGCATTGTGCAGGGCTCGTTGCTCCGGCGGTGAGTGGCGGCTGGCATAGCAGCAGCTTTGCTATGTAGAGGGACTAGAAAATGCCAATATCGGCCCAATATATAGTCTCGGCTGATAATCGGTTGTTCTCTATCTGTTATCAACCAGGTGTCATTCATCAAGATGCTCCTCAGTGTGTCCTCTGTTTGAAAGGCTCCAGATCAGAGCTAATGAAACAGAAAGCCATGATGACACCTGTAGGACTGTTGCTTTCAGAATGAGACAGTGACCATCCCTCCTTCTCTCCTCCTCTCATAGGCTCCGGGATGCTTTGATTTCTCCTAATCCTCCTCCTCTCTCTCTGCACTAAGCCATATGATAGTGGGAATGGAATAATAGCAGCACTGACTGGGCCAGACACAAATCACCTGTGAATGGAAGGCTGTGAAACCCACTCTGTCATTCAGCATTACTGCTCTAATCGGCTGAAGGCTCTAAGCATGTTCTGCTGTGTGTCTGAGGCTGTTCCACAGTCCCTCTGAAGCCAGACACTGGTGGCTTGTCTGTAATGAGGTTTGCATGGTTTGCATGGGGATGAATGCTGATGTTATAGGGTGATATTGCATACAAGCCTTTTGGATAGTGTATCCAAACCATTTATTTTCCCTGTCTGAGAATACAGGGTTTGCACGGTTTTGCCATAGACTGTTAAATTAACGATTGAAAATAGCTTCCGGGGCCTCCCGAGTGGCGCAGCGGTCTAAGGCACTGCATCACAGTGCTAGAGGTATCACTACGGACCTGGGTTCGATCCCAGGCTGTATCACAACCGGCTGTGATTGTGAGTCCCATAGGGCGGCACACAATTGGCCCAGCGTCGTTCGGGTTAGGGGAGGGTTTGACCGGGGGGGCTTTACTTGGCTCATCGCGCTCTAGCGACTCCTTGTGGCGGGCCGGGCACCTGCAGGCTGACCTCGGTCGCAGTTGAACGGTGTTTCCTCCGACACATTGGTGCGGCTGGCTTCTGGGTTAAGCGGGCAGGTGTTAAGAAGCGCAGTTTGGCGGGTCATGTTTCGGAGGACACATGACTCGACCTTTGCCTCCCGAGCCCGTTGGGGAGTTGCAGCGATGAGACGATCGAAATTGGGGCGATTTGCTTCCTCGTAGGCTGTATAAATAGGGCTACATTATACTGTATCCCTATAGGATTAGAAAAAGAGGAGCTAACTGCCTTCTTCTGTGTAGTCCCATGGTAATTCTGCCACGTGTGTATAGGAATCGTGTCTGTGTAAGCAGCACAGTGGCTGCCCTGGGGCCAGGGATATTAAGCTCCCTCACTAAAGGCCCTGATGCTGCTTTGCCTTGGCCCAGCAGGAGGCCTGCCTGCCCTGTGGGGAGAGATCAGCAGGGAGCAGGGGGGTGGTGGAAGTGGAGGTGGAGGTTGCCTGGAGCTCTGGGGGGAATCACGTTTTCTCACTCTACCTCTTTCACTCTTTCTTTGTCACTTCCTTCACCCTTTTCTCTCTCCCTCTCCCCCCTTTTCTCTGCTCTTCTCCCTCTCTCTTCCCCTCTCTCTCCCCCTCTCCTCCCTCGCTCCCTGCTGGTTAGAGTGGAGCTCTGCTTTATAATTCCCCCTGTGAGCAAGGCGAATGCTCTCACCAGGTTCTCACTCATTCATATTTCCAGCTGCAGGCCTGCTTCCTCTGACAGGGAAATTATAGTTAGCCCCCCACGCTCTGCGGGTTAGCCCCGCTAAAGAGGCTTCCCAGTGACATACTGTGTGTCAAAGTGTGTGTGTGTGTGTCGCTGTGTGTGTGTGTGTGTGTGTGTCTTTGCCTGTCTATGTGTGTGTGCGCGTGTTTGTGTGTGGAGGGTAGGGGGTTTCAGCAGGATATGAGCACAGCCAAACATCCAGCACAGCCCCCCAGTGTTACATTAGCAGGGCTATTCATCTTTCATCTGAGCCACCCTGGTCTCTTTTCATGTGTATTTTTGCTGATGCTCACATTTTTTTACGGTTGCTCTACTTGTCTGCGTAATGTGGCTTGCGTGTGTCAAATGTGAGTCATACAAATGTCCTTAAGCATTCTCCCATTTTTGGAGAAGTTTACAGAGAGATGTGCTTTGTGCTATTGTCGTGACTATATATATAACAGAAATAAAGCAAGATAGTCCCCAAAAAAATAACTGATGCCCTATGTGTTTCGGCACCATACTGGCCTTCATCAGGGCTAAACCATGTGAAACTATTTGATAATATAATACTATAATAATGGCTTCATGAAAGCTTGTTCTTCTGTGTTCCCACCAGTCCAACCCTAGCCAAGCAGACCTGAATGCCAAGGGAGCGTGGTCCCAGGGTTACACTGGGAGAGGAGTTGTGGTCACCATCCTGGATGACGGCATAGAGAAAGACCACCCAGACCTGGCCACCAACTACGTGAGTACCACAACCACAACCTGCTCTGTGTGGATGGACGGAAGAAGAAGTAGCCTTCTCCCCAGCTCCACATTGCTTTCACCTTGCCTGTGTTTTCACAGAGTACAGATGAGATAGAAGAAGAAGAGTCATTTAATCTGCATTCTCTGAGCCACACAGCTAGGTGAAGGCAATGTGAAGAAGGATGCCTACCTCAGCCTCAGGGCATACATAAAAATGTATGCGCACATGACTGTAAGTTGCTTTGGATAAAAGCGTCTGCTAAATGGCATATTATTATATTATTATAAATTACTTTCCCAGGAATTGCTTTAAAGTGCAGCAACAGATGGAGGAAAAGAGACTCTCAATAAGGCTGTTGAGATGCATTCTGAGAGTGGTCACTCTCACCATATCCTTACATCCTTGTAATTTAGCAGACACTCTGATCCAGAGCGACTTACATGAGCAATTAGGTCTAAGTGCCTTGCTCAAGGGCACATCGGCAGATTTTTCACCTAGTCGGCTCAGGAATTTGAACCAGCTGCCTTTTGGTTACTGGCCTAATGCTCTTAACCGCTAGGCTACCTTCAGCCTTTACCACCCATATCATGAAAGGGTGCAATTCAGCCATATCCCCAGATTCACGTGTCTAACACCTGTTTCCATCTCTGTTCCCAGGACCCTGAGGCCAGCTATGATGTCAACGATGGAGACTCTGACCCCCAGCCACGCTACACACAGCGCAACGAGAACAGGTCATGTGATATCCTGCTCTGCCCCACACCTCAACTGGATTATACATACATACATACATACATACATACATACATACATACATACATACATACATACATACATACATACATACATACATACATACATACATACATACATACATACATACATACATACATACGTACATACATACGTACATACATACGTACGTACATACGTCTCCCGAGTGGCGCAGTGGTCTAAGGCACTGCATCGCAGTGCTAGCTGTGCCACTAGAGATCCTGGTTCGAATCCAGGGGGCGGCGCACAATTGGCCCAGTGGTAGTACAGTAGTCGTTTATTTGCCCCTGGCTGATACCAGCAAGTCTCTCTCTAGGCTTTTGGTGATTTAATTAAAAAACCACTGGTCTAAAAGTAAAAGGGGGGCTTCTAAATTCCTTAAGCACCTCCTCCTCAGCCCCTCTCACCTCCCTCATACTAACCCCAGCGTGTGGCTGTCTTCTGCCATGGTTCCATCCTGGATCAGATGGGACACTGCTGCATTCCTCCCACCTCTGAAACACACAGGAGGATTTGCCTCAAATCTCCCCCTTTGTTTCTGGGACGAATGCCAGTCTTTTTGTTGTAGTTGTTAGTTGGTTTTTCCGCATTTATTTTGTTTCAATGCTTAACAGGATCTTGCAATATGTTGGGGAAAATAACACTCTTTCATGACGCTGTGGAAACATATTTCAGGTAGAACTGAATTCTCTCCAAAGCAGGACATGGTTTAAACTTCCCCAGACTTAATGTCTTTGAGCTGCCTCTGCCTCTACTGTACATACTGAAGAGAGATTCACAGCATTTTCCCCTGTGAAATGAAAACAATGCCTTTGCATTTCGTATCACCAAATGTTTTCCATTGAACACAGACCCTGTTTCCCCTGTCCTCTTCTCTTTAAGCTGCCTCTCTACTGTACATATTGAAGTGATTCTCTCCCTCTTTAGCTCCCACTAGAGAGCCTTCCCAGAGACACTCGTATGTGTGTGTGTGTGTGTGTGTGTGTACTGTATATACTGTACATATGGAAGCGATTCCCTCCTGTCTCCCTAGTGGAATAAAAACAATGGCTTTGCCTCACCAAAAGCTTTCACGGACACTTTTTTCTTCTGCCTCTACAGAAGAGATGACCTCTTCTTGTTTACCCACTGGAATAAAAACAATTAATATTATAATAATATGCCATTTAGCAGACGCTTTTATCCAAAGCGACTTACAGTCATGCGTGCATACATTTTTACGTATGGTACAATTGGCTTGCATAGTCAAGGCCAAGTGCTTTCACTTTAACCAGGGACCTTGTTTCCATGTTTACCTGGAGTAGTACTAGCTCTGCCCCAGCCTAGGCCTACCCCTGCCCCCTTGTCTGTTTGAGGCAATCACCACTCAGTCCTGATGACTAGGGAACACAAGACTACTCCCTGGTTGGTTCAGCTTCTTCTAACCAGCTCCACTGCTGCTGCAGCTACTGCTGCTGCTTCTGCACAGAACTTCAGAACACACACATGCACACATACACATTGTAACTAAAAAAACACATACACACAGTACAGACACAGTACACTACACACATCGTTTGGCTGGTGCTCTCAAGGCGATTATCCAGGACGGAATCAATTTATGACCATGAAATGAGAAGCAAGTGTGTGTCTCTGTCAATAGCGTTGAGCGCTGTGTGTTTGGAGTGACCTGAGGAAAAATAAAAGCAGATGAGTTCAGTAATTCCCCATAGAGGCGCCCAGCCAGTAGCTGAGTAATGCTCTCCACCTCCCCACAATGGGATTATATGAATATATTCATGGGGAGAAAAGGGAACAGGAGACTTAAGTCAGAAGCTTATGTCCTCTTCCACCGCCGGCTCATTTGTATTGGTGACATGCAAGGCTGGGTTTTGAATTCGCATCCAATAAGGAGTTGTTCCAGGTAGATGCTTTGTACTGCAGCTTGGCAGGACTGGCAGGTATTGTTGGAAGGATTTTAAGCCAGGCTGGAACAAGGCTCTTGCCTGAGCAGGTAATTATTTTGTGCTCCATCATCGAAATGTTTGTCCTCTCTCAGTGCTTTCTCTCCTCCTGTCCTACATTACAGTGCTGTCAATACTGTGGATTAGAGATTGGAGAGGGTGAGAAGAGCCTGAGAGGTGCTAGGGGTACCCGTGATGACAGGGCTGCTGTCCACACTCTTGTAGTTTCTCATCCACCCACCAGATCTGTCTCTGGGCTTGGCCTTAATCCCTCTTACTGTCTATCCTATCAATGGTGAGAGGAGAGGCAGAAGAAGAGGTACAACTACCAACCAGAGTGCACAAATGAAGGAGCAAACTTCACAATCCATTGAGACAGTCTGATCCCTTATGGGTGCACCTTGGTTGGTACGAGGTAGTTCCAGTATACTGTATATTTGGTTCTGAGGAGAAGCAGCTAGCTGCAGCAGTTCTTCTCACATCCAAAGCACTCCACTGTGACAATCACCCACCGGCACAGTGATGTCTGAATGTCCTCTGCCCTTTATTTCCCGCCCCTGAACAACCTTCACCTAACGTCTGGACACCTATTTTCTCCGGCAGGGTTGGAGACAGTTATTATGTGATTTGAAGAGGGAGAGCCTGGTGTATAAAATATGTTCTCTCTTTCACTCCTCTCTTTCTCTCTTTTACACAACTCAATAGAAAGTCTCGCCCCTGACTCCTAACTTCAATGTTTAACACATAAAAAGTGCCCGTCTATTCCAAGGCCTGGCTATGTTGTTTACCATCTTTCTATCTGTCTATCTGAGACGGAGTGTTTATTTCCCAGACGGCCCAGAGCCTTGAGATGAATCAACAGATGTTAGGAGTGATGTTGGCATGCGCCCGCCTTCCATCCTCACACCTGACATCTCTCTGTCTCTGTCTCTGTCTCTGTCTCTGTCTTCTCTTCCTCCTCTACTCTCTCTCATCTCCTCTTCTCTCTCTCTCTCTCTCATCTCTCTCTCTCTCTCTCTCTCTCTCTCTCTCTCATCTCTCTCTCTCTCTCTCTCTCGCTCTCTCTCTATCTTCGCTCTCTCTCTCCTCTCTCTCTCTCTCTCTCTCTCTCTCTCTCTCTCTCTCTCTCTCTCTCTCTCTCTCTCTCTCTCTCTCTCAGTGCATGCTGGGAGTTTTTTGGAGTTTGAGTGTTTGGTGTGGAGGGCTCTTTCCTTGGTTTTTCCTTTCAATTTCTCTTTTCTATGGTGGAGGGTTAATGCACTGTTTGTTTTAGTAGTACCCACAGTTTTTATTTTCTGGTGGAGGAGGTTCTGCTCGCGGTCGGTGAACAGGTAGGAGCTGAATTTATACATTCCGCAGAATGAACAAAGCTGTGGTTGTGTTTATGAAAAGAGCCAATTTGGTGGGTAGGCTCATTTCTAGTGGTATATTTGTAAGGGGTGTGTTGGTGCCAATTTCTACTCTTTCTACCCCTTCGACTAGAGTGGTAGTTGCAAATTTGCCTCCGTTTATTACGGATGATCAAATCAGGAAGGAGTTGAGTCGTTTTGGTAAGTTTTCTAGTGGTTTTCAGTCAGATGCCGTCAAGCATGTTGTTTCGTTCCGGAAGCAAGTGTTCATGTTTCTGAATAACAATGAGCAACAGTTAAATGTGCATTTTAAAGTGAGGCATGGGGAGGGGCTCTACGCAGGTTTTGCCAGCATAGATAGTCTACGGTGCTTTGAGTGTGGGGATTTGGGGCATAAGAGCTTTGCGTGCCCACATAAAGGCCGTAGACAAGGTGAGGGTTCAAGCACCAGTGGGGGAAATTGAGGTCAACGTGCAGGGGGCCATGAGACGCAGGCAGCAGAGGCTGGGCCTAGTCATGCGACAGATGGTAGTGTAGCTAAGGCTGGGCCAAGTCATGCTACAGATGGTGGGTTAGATGAGGCTGGGCCTAGTCATGCTACAGATGGTAGTGTAGCTAAGGCTGGGTCTAGTCATGCTATGGATGGTGGTATAGCTGAGGCTGGGTCTAGTCATGCTATAGATGGTGGTGTAGATGAGGCTGGGTCTAGTCATGTTATGAATGGTGGTGTAGATGAGGCTGGGCCTAGTCATGCTATAGGTGGTGGTGCAGATGAGGCTGGGTCTAGTCATGTTATGGAGGGTGGGGTAGATGAGGCTGGGTCTAGTCATGTTATGGATGGTGGTGTAGATGAGGCTGGATCTAGTCGTGTTATGGATGGTGGTGTAGCTGAGACGGGGTCTAGTCATGTCATGGATGGTGGTGTAGATGAGGCTGGGCTTAGTCAGGTTAAGCTAGTGGATGAGGAGAGTATAGTGGGGAAGGGTAAGCGACTGGGGGGGGGGGGGGGGGTGGAGGAGGAAAAAGGGGAAGAAGAAAGGAGGTGGGAGGGCAGAGGCTGGTGTGGTGAAAGGCACCAAGGAACCTTTGCCTGGTGCTGGGGGGGAGTTCCCGACTAGAGAGGAAGAGCAGGTGGTCAGGATGGGAGATGGAGATGAGGAGGAGGAAGGTGAGTCTGAGGAGGAAGACGATGAGGAGGATTTATTTTCAGACTCCTCCTCAATGGGTCCAGAGCTGACAGCCAGTCAGTCAGAGGGGTCAAAGTACCAGGTGAGGGAACTGTCAAGGTTCCTGAATGAGACTAAGGGGGAAAAAAGTTAATCTTGAGGCTTTTTTTTTGCGATCCGGGAAAGTTTGTAAGATCAGTACAACATGCTATGAAAAATGAGGGGCATGGTGTCCTCTCACCCAGGAAACGGTTTAGGTTGAGGAAGTGGGTCACAACCGTGCGTAAAAGTCTACCTTCAGACACTGTTTAGATTAAAGTTTTCTTTCTGGCACTGGGGCTTTTTGAGCTTTGCTATTGGTCTCTTTCTCTGCTGGCTTTTCTCCCACTTCTTATGGAGACTCTTTGGGTAGGCTCGCTTAATATTAATGGCGCCAGAGATGCGGGTAAGAGGAGTGTGTTGGGTGAATATGTAAAACAAAAAAAAGTATAGGTGTTGTTTCTGCAGAAGACGCATAGCGATGTGGTGAATGAAGTTGATTGGGGGCTCTGGTGGAAAGGGGCAAGTGTGCTGAGCCATGGGACAAATGTTAGTGCAGGGGTGGCAGTCCTTTTTGTACCGGGTCTGTCTGTAAAAATTTGCTCCTCAAAAGAGGTGTGTAGGGGTAGACTGCTTGTAGTAAAAGCAGGGGTTTTGTCTTTATAAATATGTATGCGCCTAACACAGGGAGAGAGAGGGGGCTTCTATTTGGGTGTCTTAGACTGGAACTCTCACAGATATCGCCTGAGGAGACGCTGGTGCTCGGCGGGGACTGGCACTGTACGATGGATTTTACGAAAGACTGAAATGGGGAGGAGCCTCATTCTGGTTCAGTGGGGGTGTTAAGGGACATTATTAATCAGTTTGACCTAGTGGATGTTTGGAGAACTAGACATCCCAACACAAGACAGTATACATGGGTGAAGGTCTTTGGGGCTAGGGTAAGTGCAGCCCGGCTTGATCGATTGTACATGTCTAGGAATCAGAGCAATAAGCTGTTGGGCGCTACTATTCTCCCGGTAGGGCTCGGCTATCTATTTCACCAGGGCCTCGGCAGGCATCCTATTGGAAGTTTAATGTAAAGCTCTTACAAGATGCCACTTTTTGCTCAGGTTTCCAGACTTTTTGGGAAAGGTGGGGGCAGCGAAGAGAGGAGTATGAGTCTCTGAGTCAATGGTGGGATGTGGGAAAAGTCCAAAATCTGCTTTTCTGCCAACAGTATACAGCTCTCTCATCCTCAGAGGCTAGGAGAGTATTGGGGGAACTCGAACGTAGTATTAGTGAGATGGAGGTAGAGCTGGTGGGGCAAGGCAATGTAGGCCTCCAGGCTAATTTAGCTGAACTACGTAGGGACCTGGGCAGTTTTTTTCCAGGTTAAAGTAAAGGGAGCACTTGTAAGAGCTAGGTTCTCCATGCTCAAGGGGATGGATGCTCCCAGCTCCTTCTTCTTTGGTTTGGAAAGACAGAGCGGTGAAGCCAAGGGTATGCATTGTCTTCGGCTTTCGGATGGGCGGGTGACCTCTGTGGTGGGGGAGATGCGGGAGCGGACTGTGGCAGTTTTATACAGAGTTGTATAGGGCAGAACTGTGTGATCCTATGTGTGCTCAGGTTTTGTTTGCCAAACTCCCTAAGCTCTCTCTGGTACAAAGGGATGAAATGGACATTCCCCTGTTGTCCCATGAACTGGCAGAGGCTGTAACCCAGATGTCCCCCGGCTGTGCACTCCCAGTGGAGTTTTATAAAAAATTCTGGGGAATAATTGGACTGGACTTCTTTTGCGTGTTGCGTGAGTGTGTCGGGGTTGGAGAGTTGCCGTTGAGCTGCCGGCGGGCAGCTCTGACTCTCCTGCCCAAAAAAGGGGACTTGTGTGAACTTAAGAACTGGAGGCCTGTGGCATTGCTCTGTGCGGACTACAATATATTTGCCAAGGTCCTCGCTAACAGACTGAAGTCCCATCTGGACTCTATAGTACACAAGGACCAGACATATTGTGTACCAAGACGCTCAATCACGGACAACTTGTTCTTAATCAGGGACACGTTGGACTTGTCAAGAGGTTGTAATGTGAACTTTGGTCTGGTCTCTTTAGATCAAGAAGGCTTTTGATAGAGTGGACCATGAGTATCTGTTTAATGTGATGTCTGTGTTTGGGGAAAGGTTTTTGGCCTATGTGAAGATGTTGTATGCTGGGGCATCAAGTATGGTTAAGGTGGGAGGGGGGCTCAGTAGGCCAGTCTGGGTAAAGCGGTGCATTAGACAAGGATGCCCTCTATCAGGGCAGTTATATACACTAGCCATTGAGCCTTTTGTGGGCCTGCTACGCAGGAGACTGCAGGGAGTGTGCTGGACAGGCATAGCAGTGTCAGCGTATGCAGATGACGTTTCTGTGATGGTCAGGGATGGTCAGGATATGCAGGCACTAGAGAATAGTCTGAAGGTGTACGAGGGAGCTTCGTCAGCTAAGGTAAACTGGGGCAAGAGCAAAGGTCTGTTATGTGGGGCATGGGGGGATAGGGTCCCTCTGCTTCCAGGGGGTTTGCAGTGGGGTTGTGAAGTGCTTAACATTTTGGGGGTGTACCTGGGCTCGGAGAGGTGGGTCAGGAAGAACTGGGAGGGGCTGTCACAGGCAGTGGTGTCAAGACTGGCCAGGTGGAGGTGGCTCCTGTCCCAAGTGTCATATAGAGGGAGGGTGCTGATAATCAACAACCTGGTGGCATCTTTCTTGTGGCATAAACTGGCTGTCCTCAACCCCCCCGCCGGTCTGCTCGCAGACCTGCAACGCAAGCTGGTGGATTTTTTCTGGTCGGGCCATCACTGGCTGAGGGCGGCAGTGTTGTATATGTCCGTAAATGAAGGAGGACAGGGCCTGGTGGAACTGGAAAGCAGGGTGGCTGCATTCCGACTAAAGGTGGCGCAGAGACTGCTGTACCATACTGATGTCGGATGGAGGGAGCCAGCATGCGCGCTGCTGAGAAGAGCTGGCGGATTAGGGTTGGACCGGCAGCTATTCCTCATGAGGCTGGAGGGGCTGAGTACAGCAGGTCTCTCTGATTTTTACTCTGCGGTGCTGAGGGCCTGGCAGCTACTAAGGCCCACACGAGAAGGGGGTGTGGAGCTTGGGCTGTGGGTGTGGGAGGAGCCTATCTTCCACAACCCAGCCATCCTTTTGAGATCGGTTCAGTCGGCCACCCTGAAGAGGCGACTGATGGCAGCGGGATTACTAAGGCTTGGTGACCTGCGACTGCTGGGAGAGGAGGGGTGGAAAACCCCAGAAGTCCTAGCACAACAAACAGGACTAACATCTCTTAGGCTGCTGGAGAGATTCCTGGGGGAAGTCCAGGAGGCACTGTCTGAGCCGGTAAAGGGGGTGTTTGAGCGGCCAAAGGGGGAGGGGCCACCAATGTTTCCGCCACTGCACGTGACGGCAGACTGGGGACTGGCAAGGGGGTCTGGAGGACTTGTTAGATTTTAACACTCCGAGCCTGGGGGAGTTTGAAGGGGTGGGAGGTAAAGCCCTATACAACCTCTGTATTAAGGTAAGGAACATCAGGAGCCTAACAGGAGTGAAGGCACATCAGTGGCAGGGAGTATGTGGGGCGGAGAGTATGATGGGTTTTAGATGGAGGGGGCTCTACAACTCCCAGTACCAAAGAGGTCAGGGGACCTCCAGTGGAGGGTTTTACATGGAGCCCTGGCCACTAACAGCTGGTTGGCACGCGTTGAACCGGGAGTCGGACAGGGGTGTCCTTTCTGTGTCATGAGTGAAACTGTGATTCATGTGTTTTCTATGTGCGCCAGGTTAATGCCTTTAATGTCTCTGTTGGAATGTCTGTGTGAGATGTTGGGGGTGGAGTTTACTGTCGGGATGTTTATAATGGGGTACAGGTATTCAAATAAGGAAATGGCTAAATGTGTGTTGTTGAATTTTCTGTTTGCTCAGGCAAAGTTGGCTATTTGGCTAACAAGGAGGAACAGTTCAAAGGTGGGGGGATAACAGACCCTTTACTATTATTTAATGGGATTGTCTCTGTGCGCCTTAGGGTGGAATTTGGTTTCTATAAAATGATAAAAAGTGTGGAGATGTTTCAAGAGATATGGTGTGTTGGGGGGACTGTCTGTATAGCTGGGGAAGATGGTCTGGATATACGGTTGTAGAAGTGGTGAGGTTTGGGTTATTGTGATGTGTGGTGTTGTTTTTGTATCGTGGGGTAGAGGGAAAGGTGAGTATGCCGTACAGGGGATATGGGTATTTTTTATTGTTATTTTAGGGGGTGGGGGTGAGGTTTTAATGACGAGGGCTGAGTGATTGAAATTGTGCGTCTGTGAGTGATTGAAGGCTGCTGTGCTCCTGCTCCAGCCACTTCAATAAGTCATTGAGTACTGCAAATGGTCTGAGCCCCTGAACCCCCCACCATACTGGACACCATCACCAATATACAGATACTGGCCAGGCCTGGTGAATGGCAGATTTAAGCAGGTGTGTCACTGCTGTGAACAGTTAGACCTCCCTCAGTGAGACACGACACAGCTTAGGTCAGCTTGCTTTGTTGCTTTGTTTAGAAGCCTCTTTGTTGGACTGCCTTAATCTCACAAGTCTCCTTTAAACCACAGTTGAATGAATCACTTCATTTTAGCTAGCTAAAGTGTCTGTCTCATTGGGTTGGCTTGCATCTTTTAAAGCCATTTTCAGAAACCTTATCATTCAGTTAGCTAGTCTTATCGCATGAGCCGGGTCGAGTGGCCTGATGAGTGATTCTCATTAGATGTGGCAACCAGAGACGTGTGACCACTGGCCAGGGTAGGTGGGAGGAAAGAAGCAGTAGATTGCTCTATTCCCAAGGCCTGAGAGAGAGAGCATGGTTCTGATTGGTTGGGCTTAGGAGAAACTCCAGAGTAACCGTTTGAGCAGCGGCCCGGCCCATAGCTGCCTCGGGGCTCAGTTAAGCCGAGCGGAAAATAACCTAATCCTTTTAACAGGCCCCTTGATCCAGCCACCATCCAACCCCATTCACTCACACTGCCACAGATACCCCACAGCCAACAGCAACACTACAGCAGGCAGCAGCAGAGCACAGATCCACCAAGTCAGCCAAGCACGCTGCGACATCAGTCACACTCTATAATATACATCTGAACATACATAGTGCATGTTTCAGACCTCTTTGTCTGGGTGTCTAAAATCAGAACATTATTTGCTGGAGAGACGTAACAATACCCCAAAATGGCTTCATTGCTCCATGCCATTCTTAAGTAAAAGGACAGGGCAACCAATAGGCTGGAATAGGTTGTATAAGCCTGAAGGAAAGAGAGATAAAAGCATTCCCTCTCTGTCCCCCTCCATCCCTCAGATAAGATAAAGAGAGCACAGTGACCTTGTAGATAGTGTTTAGGTTACCTTTCTTTATCTACCATAGACTACTGCAGGGGTGGCCTTCCAACACTCCTCCTGGAGAACTACTGGGAATGCAGGCTTCTGGGTTTACACTGAGGAGTGGAGGCTGCATGATGGAAGCAGTACTTTATAATTGGTCTTCTCACACATTTAACACGTGTCTGGGTAACCCTTTCCTTTCACTGTCTGCCTTAGTCTCACAGGTACTCTAGCCGGTCGCGCAGTTAACCCCAGGCCTTATTAATAATAATAATATGCCATTTAGCAGACGCTTTTATCCAAAGCGACTTACAGTCATGTGTGCATACATTTTTAAGTATGGGTAGGGCACAACAGGTGCTGTTCAGAAGGTGTCATTTTCAGGGAACACAGACTCACACCAAATTTTACTTGACAGTCTTGTCTGTTCTATGTTCTCTGTGACACTTTAACCATTGCATTTAGGAGAGAGAGAGAGAAAGACAGAGAGAGAGAGAGAGAGAGAGAGGGTGAGTAAAGTGCCTCTAAAATAATTTCCTGTGATTTTTGTTTTGACAAATGTAGAATTAAGATGTCGTCTGGTTGTCAGATCCCCCCTCCTGGGCCACTCTCCACACATTAAGCTGTCGTCCATCTGATCTGAAAGGCGTCCAGTCCAATCACACCCTGTAATCACGTAGCAGCTGTGTGTTTGTCTGTGTGTGTGTCTGGTAAATGGCTGTTCTGTGAATGGCTCCCCTCCAGCAGCCCATGTGAAAGTGCCTCAGGGCATAGTGCTTTACTTCCTGCCCACTATGAGTGTAGTGGATAACCTTCCTCCCTGCTTACACGTCTGGCCAAATGACGATAGTGCCTAGATACCCTCTACCACAGATACCATTTTGAGATACTATGGATGAAACAATGATCTCGCCGGTAGCTAGGAATCCATTTTGGGGAAACGTGCCCAGCTGGGCCGATTGCCTCCTGGCCACAGTGCTGCTTGTTGTCTGGGATTGGGCCTGTATAGACAGACTCAGTGTTAGCAGGGCTGCTCTCTGCTCTCTCTCCTGATAGTGATTAAAACCATTTAGCATGGTGTGCCTTAGAATCCCCCCTCTCTTTAAAAGTCAATGTGATGCTCTCATAAAGGAATGTGACACAGGGTTTCTGTCTACGGCAGGGATAAATTATGGTTTAACGGTTCTTATGTTTGGCCAGCAGCCAGTGGGAAAAACTGTGTTGTGTGGGTGGGTGTGTGGGTGGGTGTGCGTGCATGCACTGTGCTGTGCTAAATCTAAGTGTCACATGATCTGTCACATGATCTCAGTATAAATATACCTGTTCTGAAAGGCCCCAGAGTCTGCAACACCACTAAGCAAGGGGCACCACCAAGCAAGCGGCACCATGAAGACCAAGGAGCTCTCCAAACAGGTCAGGGACAAAGTTGTGTAGAAGTACAGATCAGGGTTGGGTTATAAAAAGATATCTGAAACTTTGAACATCCCACGGAGCACCATTAAATCTATTATTTAAAAAAAATGGAAAGAATATGGCACCACAACAAACCTGCCAAGAGAGGGCCGCCCACCAAAACTCACGGACCAGGTAAGGAGGGTATTAATCAGAGAAGCAACAAAGAGACCAAAGTTAACCCTGAAGGAGCTGCAAAGCTCCACAACAGAGATTGGAGTATCTGTCCATAAGACCACTTTAAGCCATACACTCCACAGAGCTGGGCTTTATGGAAGAGTGGCCAGAAAAAAATGCCATTGCTTAAAGAAAATAAAAAGCAAACACGTTAGGTGTACGCCAAAAGGCATGTGGGAGACTCCCCAAACATATGGAGAAGGTACTCTGGTCAGATGAGACTAAAATTGAGCTTTTTGGCCATCAAGGAAAAAACTATGTCTGGCGCAAACCCAACACCTCTCATCACCCCGAGAACACCATCCCCACAGTGAAGCATGGTGGTGGCAGCATCATGCTGTGGGGATGTTTTTCATCGGCAGGGACTGGGAAACTGGTCAGAATTGAAGTAATGATGTATGGCGCTAAATACTGGGAAAATTCTTGAGGGAAACCTGTTTCAGTCTTCCAGAGATTTGAGACTGGGACGGAGGTTCACCTTCCAGCAGGACAAAGACCCTAAGCATATTTTACATTAGTTATTTAGTTGTTATTAGTTGTTATTAGTTATTACTAGTCCCAACCTTAAGCTCCATTCAACCCCTCCCATCTGTCTCTTAAGACCATCCATATTGGATTTCTATTTGCCATATATTTTTCAACTGTACTTTGATGTTTCACAAAAGTTCTGAACCTTTCTATTCTCATTGTTTCTACAGATTGTGAATTGAAAATAAACATTTTTGCTAAAAGTATTATTATATTATTGATCGATTGACTATGACTTTTCAGATCAACCAGTAGTGCTATCTGCAGGGTTAGCTCCAGGTAAATATTGCAATCATTCAGCCATTCCTGGAGCTGTGACCAAAAAGAAGCTACAAATGGACAGTACCAAAACAAATTATCTAATGATTCTGTCTCTTCGCAGCAAAATATGCAGAGCTGGGAAGATTGTATCCCCCATATAAATAACATTATATTGGTAGCAAGAATTTTGTATAATAATTTAAATTGAACAATTCTAAGTTTTGAATCCGGCGTCGTTTTGCGTATCAGTTCATAAACAATTTGCCATGGAATCGGTACATCAAAAATCTCTTCCCAACTATTTTGCAATCTATATGGTACGGCTGTCAATCCTTTGGTCCTTAAATGAAACAGGTATACTTATTTATTTATCACAATTTTCTTTAACCAATTATGGTCTTTAATGCAGGGCCGACAGACAAGTTCCTTGCTTTTCTCCCTTCCACTTTCCTCTTCCATTTTTGCGGTAATACTGCAATTTGGTTGTAATTTTGGTTAGAGCAGACATTTCCATATGTTTTTGTTAGCTGCATGTGCGACATAACTCCACTAGTCCTACCTATGATATCATTTATGAAGATTATACCTTTTTTAAACATTTGTTTAAAAAATAATGTTTTTTTATCAAGTAGTATATTTGAGTTAAACCACAATATTTGTTGCATTATTTGTTCTGTCGTTTCTGGAGGATTAAATTGAAATTGCAACCAACTTTCTATGGCTTGTTTTAGAAATAGTGATATTTGGGAGTTGATTTCCTTTTCAAATAACTGAAAGTGAGAGTTTGTAGTCTGAATAAAGGGGAAAAAGGCCATTCTTGAACATGGGTGAGACAATCTTACTAATTTGCTAGAGAACCAGTTTGGATTTAAGTATAACTTTTGTATGACTGAAGATTTTAGTGATAGGTCTAATGCTTTAATATTTAATCATTTCTGTCCTCCGAATCATATTAATTATATAAATAGGCCCATTTAATTTTGTCTGGCTTGCCGTTCCAAATAAAATGGAATATTTCTTTCTCATATAATTTAAAAAACTGTTCGCTAGGTGTAGCGTAAGCAAGACCATAAGCAAATAGGTAAACTGGGATAATACTAAAGAGTACATCAGACCCATGGGGCGGCGCGCAATTGGCCCAGCGTCGTCCAGGGTAGGGGAGGGAATGGCCGGCAGGGATGTAGCTCAGTTGTGGGTTCGATTCCCACAGGGGGTATGAAAAAAAATAATGTATGCACTAACTGTAAGTCGCTCTGGATAAGAGCGTCTGCTAAATGACTAAAAATGTAAAATCAGGGTGATTTTTCCACAAATAGACAGGTATTTACCTTTCCATTGTAGCAAGATCTTATCTATTTTTGCTAACTTTCTATTAAAATGTATTGGAGTGAGATCATTTATTTATTTTGGGATATATATTCAGAGTATATCCACATCACCATCAGACCATTTTATTGGTAAAATACACGGTAATGTAGATCATCTATGAGGCGGTGGAGGGATTCAAGTTGTGGATTTAAAAGAAAACATGAATCATCAGCATACAATGACACCTTTGTTTTTAAGCCCTGGATTTCTAATCCCTTGATATTATTGTTGGATCTGATTTTAATAAATTGAAATTTAAAATGTTAAATTAAATTTTTAATTTTAATCATTTAGCAGACGCTCTTATCCAGAGCGACTTACAGTTAGTGAATGCATACATTGTTATTTTTTTTCATACTGGCCCCCCGTGGGAAACGAACCCACATCCCTGCCGGCCAAACCCTCCCCTACCTTGGACGACGCTGGAC